TCTGTGGGTTGATCTGCATGCAAAAAGTTTGCTATAAATAATCTTTGCATTTTTATTGTGCATTTTTATGCATTCAGTGCTTGGGTTCGATATCGAAGTTAGCTTGGAAATAAATATGAAAAGTTTTATTTATGTTTGCCACCCGGACTAAGCCGTGGCTAGAGCGCCGAGCATCGAGCGTCGAGCACCGAGCGCCGAAAAAGTCCACGGGCGCTATATTTATGGCATTTGTTTGCCAACAAGTTTCAATAGCTCAATCACGCCATCGGCCCACCTAAACAAATAGAAATCACATGCAATATGCCCACCCACCCGCTCCACATAGTTCGCCCCGCTGGCATTCCATTTCAATTTCCACAGCTATTTGATTTTCTTTTGTTTCGCCGCACACAGCTCGAACGACAAACATCATCAATGTGAGTGCCGCGTGGCTTGTGCTGTGCTGCTAGCTGCTCCTGGGGGCAATGAAATCGAGGAAGCTGCCCAAGGTTTGTGGCCTCAACTGCTTGACCCTACTCTGTATACCGTTGGTGTTGCCCATCCTAAGATGCACGGCCGTCGGCACCGGCTCAGCCGGCAGCAGCAGCAGCAGCGGCAGCGGCAGCGGCAGCGGCAGCGCCAATGGCGGAGACTTCGATTACCGGCTGCAGCGGGTGAGGAACGTGCTGAAGGAGGTGCCGCTAATCGATGGCCACAACGATTTGCCCTGGAATATACGSAAGTTCCTCAAGAACCAGCTGAAGGACTTTCACTTCGGCAGCGACCTGCGCGAAATGGCGCCCTGGTCCTCGAGTGCCTGGAGCCACACGGATCTGCGCCGGCTCAAGGAGGGCATGGTCTCGGCCCAGTTCTGGTCCGCCTACGCGCCCTGCTCCTCACAGCATCTGGATGCGGTGCAGCTGACGCTGGAGCAGATCGACTTGATACGTCGCCTGGTGCATCTCTATCCGCATCACATGGCCCTGGTCACCAGCGCCGCGGGCATCGAGCAGACCCATCGCACGGGCAAAATCGCCAGCCTGATTGGCGTCGAGGGTGGCCATGCGATCGGCACCAGTCTGAGTGTGCTGCGCATGTTCTATCAGCTGGGCGCCCGCTACCTGACGCTCACACACACCTGCAATACACCTTGGTAAGTGAAATTAATGACTCCACTGACTCGACTCAGCAGCGCATTGACTCTGAACAACGTTCACAGGGCGGACTGCTGCAAAGTTGACGAACCGGGCAAGTATCCGCACATAGGCGGACTCTCATCATTTGGCAAGGTGAGTTTTTCTAGATGAGTCTAGTGTAG